TCTTACGGAACTGCCCTTTTTTTTTATAACCGTGGATGATTGGGCCAGCTTGCGTGCACCTCGACTAATCCCACGGGTACTCACCTCAGTGGCCCTGGAGGGATTCGAACTGGTGACCATTGGGGAACAAATCCAAGACCTGACCAATTGAGTAACCCCTCAAAGTTTACGGAACTGCCCTTCATTCATTACGTACCAAGCATGAAACAAATTCAATTACAGAAACACAATAAGTAACAGATGCTTAGCAAACATTTTAGTTGATGTACCTGTACAACAAGATCCATTGACAACCTTTTACTATATTAGGAAGGGATGACTCAAAAAACTCGTATAAATATGGAGAAATGAAAAGCGATTCAACAGTGAGGTTGGGCATGGTCTTCTCAAAACTATATGAATCAGTGGCATCTTCGAATACATCAGTGCTGCTACAAGTGCTCCTCCTGGAGCCAGGTTCTCTATTTTCCACGTGAGGACTTGACTCATTACTCTGACTTGGGCTCCTGACGGAGCCATGTTCTCCATTTTCTTCACAAGGGTACTCGGGATCACATTCTGAGTATGTATCCACCGGTTTATCATTATATGAAAAAAAATTTACTTCTCCATTTAAAAGAATGTGATTCAAGCGATTTGACCTCATTATTGCAGTTGTATGATCTAGACCAATCAAAACCAGTTGAGGGCAGAATGAAGGAGAATATAGACCTTCTCTCCTTTGTATATGGCCTGGCCTATGCATACAGAAGCTTAGTGTTATGGGTCTCCTGAAGCCCTTCACCTCGTTCACCCACCTCATCGGCCACGTGTTGTCCGAACCGATTTGGCACTACCACGTAGCAGGTGAGCTGAGTACGTGGCGGTGAACTGGTTCCATATCTCCGAACTGAAATACTGTTGCCCTTCCTCATAGAAGAACCGAACTCATCTGCCCTTCACGAAGGATGCAAAGGCCGCACTCCGCACTTTGCAATCCTCATCGCCGCGCCCTCACCAAGATCTTTTAGGAGATCTACAAAGTCAAGTCCTTGACTGATTGATGGGACGTGTGACATGTCACAAACGGTCAATTCAAGCGACATGTTAAAAACCATTTAATGTCTGCCAACCTATGAATTGACGGATTGAAGCCTATGAGATGATGACTCATGCGAGATCTGAAGACACGTGCCTCTTCATCCAACGGTCCAACTCTTCCCTTCACTAGTATAAATACCCCCATACTGGCAAGAGTATGGGGAGGAATTCTTGTGAGCTTTCCATTATAACTCTCAACATATATTTAACTTCCCATTTAATCGAAACATTGACTTGACCGTCGGAGTGCTTGCGGCGGCCTCCAAAGCCACTGGAAAAGGCCACGAGTGACTAACGGTGTGTTATCGTGCGCAGGGAGAAGCTGATGTGATGACTTATCCTGTTAGCCACATGTCC